GAGAAATACTGAAGGATTTGGGTATTCGATAGTTGTCCCAGGGACATCCGTCAAGGACATTTGTGCGTCCCACAGACGTCCAATGGACTTCCACGGTACCAAAGTCGAACGTCCCATAGACGTCCTGAACATCCCGAAAGGACGTCCTAAGGATATCCATGGGACATAATTGTGTTTATAGGAGTTCATTATGAAGACATAACACTAGAGGCAAAACACGGCAGTGGCGAGAAGATCGTTTCAGTTTCGTTGTATATTATGACGATCGAATTGCACATGATATATTCGTCATTTTTACGTGTTTAAGGACCGTAACCATCGTTACTTTGAGAATAACGTCAGCAAACATATTTTTTCTACAAGAGTGCGTGATTCACCCTATACCCGCACGCAATATAGTTTGGGTATCATTATCATATCAGTATCATTTTTCCGCAACATTGCGGGAAAAACAAAAATATGATAATATGGCAAAATATAAGTGGTAAATTGATGGGATATGAGAGTTCGAGATTGGTTGTTCCAGTATTAAGTATGTATGTTCAGAATCATCCATCAAATTGCACTATTTATTGTAAAAATTAAGAAATATTGAAAATTTTAAATTGATTATCATAAAAAAAACCCTATAGATTTAGATTGATCTGATGGGAAACGATCATTGTTGTCATGCCAACCAAACCTCAAATGAGTTTGTAATTGTCGAAGTGACAGACACAGCATTACTGTCATTTTCGATCCAGTGGAATTGCCACGATGTGATAAAAATCTTCCAGCTATAGGGCTGCGATACAGATGCGTTATTGCCAACGAAGTCTCAAGAAAGGTATATGAGAAGCTATACACGCGTTTTATTGAATGGTGCAACAATAAAGAAATGAAATTAACGAATAAAGAAGATGTATTTTTGGCTCATTTCCTAGGCTCCGCTTCGCGTCGTTCGTGTCAACGGCAGTCGCGTGCGGGAAAGAATCACTTTCCGCACTTGTTAGGAAAATTACTATTTTGAAACCCCATAAAAGTTCATTTCCACCTTCGACTTTTCATTCCTGAACGATTCTCATATAGTTAAACTGTCAATTCTGAACCTTTACTGAGTAGGTATTTCTCTTTCTTATACCTACATAACATAGAGTCTGTTGATAACCATTGAATACAAACGATAATCGATCAAAACACGACGAATTGTAAGTGTTTAATTTGATTGTGCAACAATAAAGAAATGAAAATACCGAATAAATAAGAAGTATATTTGGCTCATTTCCCCTAACCACACTCATCCTGTGAAAGATAAACAGAAAGTAAAAGTGCATGATAATATCACAGATAGTATATACCTCGTGGATGGATGAGACACTCACCAATATTATTTTTGAGAAGATATTTCTGATGAGAAATATACGCTGAAGGTATACTGGTTCTTGGGTTCATGAAGCGAAATAGTCATGAGTTGATATGTCCCAAAATATCACTGTTGATGGATTGGGCTTATTACTCCTCAGCAAGTAGCGGTAAGCTCAATTCAGTACCATAATGATATTTTGGGACATTTCAACTGCTCTGTCATTTGGGAAGATAATTCAGTTGATTCCATCGATAATTTGAGACAAAGACATAATTCAAAAACTATCTTAAAATGTTGTATATTTGTTTTGAGAAACATCAAATATATGTTATGAAATAACATTTATGTAATGTAATTCATGATACATTCCAATACTATTCAATAATCATCACATTGAAATATTCATATGGAAGAGAAAGGACCACTGCAGCATATCTGTAATATCACATATCTCTAAATTACATCGCAAAGTAGCATAACAATCATGTTTAAGTTACATTTTTATGTTCAGTCTGAAAATATTCAGCCTATAATTCGATGAATCATTCATCTTTGTGTCTTGTTGTACGGAGATTGTTTAACTCATCCTACGCTCTAATCGAGTTTAATATCCAATCCAGATAGAAGTCGACGTTTGTGTTCACTGATGGAACTCCTTCCTTTCCGCAAATCGATGGTGAGAAAGACACAATTCCTTTTTGAACAAACCTCTCGACTCTGTTGACATCAAGAAAATATGTCTGCAGAGGTCCTCCACTATCACCTGAGCAACTCGCCATCATAGATTTGTCGCCTCCTGTGCAAATATGTTTTTTGGTTATCTTTGGTTTGAACTTTATTTTCTGGCAATCTTTCAGGTCTACGATTGATAATTCTGCCTGCTGTAGAATATCGTGGCCAGTAACTGGAAATTGAAATCTATCCTATAATGATAATAATAGAATAGAATAGAATAGAATAGAATAGAATAGAATAGAATAGAATAGAATAGAATATAATAGAATAGAATAGAATAGAATAGAATAGAATAGAATAGAATAGAATAGAATAGAATAGAATAGAATAGAATAGAATAGAATAGAATAGAATAGAATAGAATAGAATAGAATAGAATAGAATAGAATAGAATAGAATAGAATAGAATAGAATAGAATAGAATAGAATAGAATAGAATAGAATAGAATAGAATAGAATAGAATAGAATAGAATAGAATAGAATAGAATAGAATAGAATAGAATAGAATAGAATAGAATAGAATAGAATAGAATAGAATAGAATAGAATAGAATAGAATAGAATAGAATAGAATAGAATAGAATAGAATAGAATAGAATAGAATAGAATAGAATAGAATAGAATAGAATAGAATAGAATAGAATAGAATAGAATAGAATAGAATAGAATAGAATAGAATAGAATAGAATAGAATAGAATAGAATAGAATAGAATAGAATAGAATAGAATAGAATAGAATAGAATAGAATAGAATAGAATAGAATAGAATAGAATAGAATAGAATAGAATAGAATAGAATAGAATAGAATAGAATAGAATAGAATAGAATAGAATAGAATAGAATAGAATAGAATAGAATAGAATAGAATAGAATAGAATAGAATAGAATAGAATAGAATAGAATAGAATAGAATAGAATAGAATAGAATAGAATAGAATAGAATAGAATAGAATAGAATAGAATAGAATAGAATAGAATAGAATAGAATAGAATAGAATAGAATAGAATAGAATAGAATAGAATAGAATAGAATAGAATAGAATAGAATAGAATAGAATAGAATAGAATAGAATAGAATAGAATAGAATAGAATAGAATAGAATAGAATAGAATAGAATAGAATAGAATAGAATAGAATAGAATAGAATAGAATAGAATAGAATAGAATAGAATAGAATAGAATAGAATAGAATAGAATAGAATAGAATAGAATAGAATAGAATAGAATAGAATAGAATAGAATAGAATAGAATAGAATAGAATAGAATAGAATAGAATAGAATAGAATAGAATAGAATAGAATAGAATAGAATAGAATAGAATAGAATAGAATAGAATAGAATAGAATAGAATAGAATAGAATAGAATAGAATAGAATAGAATAGAATAGAATAGAATAGAATAGAATAGAATAGAATAGAATAGAATAGAATAGAATAGAATAGAATAGAATAGAATAGAATAGAATAGAATAGAATAGAATAGAATAGAATAGAATAGAATAGAATAGAATAGAATAGAATAGAATAGAATAGAATAGAATAGAATAGAATAGAATAGAATAGAATAGAATAGAATAGAATAGAATAGAATAGAATAGAATAGAATAGAATAGAATAGAATAGAATAGAATAGAATAGAATAGAATAGAATAGAATAGAATAGAATAGAATAGAATAGAATAGAATAGAATAGAATAGAATAGAATAGAATAGAATAGAATAGAATAGAATAGAATAGAATAGAATAGAATAGAATAGAATAGAATAGAATAGAATAGAATAGAATAGAATAGAATAGAATAGAATAGAATAGAATAGAATAGCTTTTATTGACCACATTACATACAAAAGTACATTTGAAGTCATTTAAAAACATAGTTGAGATCAAAATTAATAAAATACATCAGCACATCATAGTAAAAATACAGCACGACAGAAATTCAATTAAAATTCAAATATTGATTGACACTATAAAAACAATGCTCCAAGAGGAACCCCCTAGAGAATCTGTAGAATTCGTTGAGGGACATATTTTTTATTTGTTTGAGTTATACAGATTCTTGAGTACGGAGTCAGTAGATCGTCCGCCTGCCGAGTGTTGTAATCATGAAGATTCGAGTGTTTAGATAATTTGGGCAACTTACGGTGGATAAACGATAGTGACTCAAAGATAAACAAACATGGTGATGGCAGAATTTCATATTTTTTGAAGAGACTCTGACAATGTGCTCGACTCTGCGCGACATCAGACTTTTTAGCTAATTTATCCGAACTGAATAGCATTTTTCGTGTTTAAGCGACGTTCAGTTTCAACTTATCAGTAGTAAACCAGGTTTCTGCAAGATTTAAACATTATGTGCTCAGTCTCTCCGTTCCTCTTGTTAGGAGTATGGTATCATCTGCAAATAATACAACTGAACTCAGCTCACCAACAGCACTTGGCAAATCATTTATATACAATAAGAATAGTATAGGGCCCAGAACCGAACCCTGTGGCACTCCATTCTGTACGTTCAGTAAGCTAGAGTTCGAGTTATTGTAACTAACATATTGTGACCTATTCCGTAGATATGATTCAAATAGTTTGATTTCATTATTTCTAAATCCGTTCTGTATAAGTATATCAACGTTGACGCAGTCGAATGCCTTGGTGAGGTCACACATAGTAGCATATGTAGGAACCCTCTCATCGATGCCTTCCACAACGTCTTCGATGATCGATATGAGTGCATGAGTGGTGGATTTAGGTTCTTGAAAACCGAATTGGTCAGGAGATTTACTGTTCAAACAGGAGACTAATCGGTCTTAAAATTAGCAAATTGGTGTTGAAAAAGGAACAGCAGCCAATGTGTCTGAAGGGCTGGGACGTGGGCTGGTCTGATGTTATTGAATGAACAGTTTTTTATATTCAGGAAGGGGCGCCTCTTGAATGTGGAATTTAGACAGAAAATAAGAAACGATAAAGTTTGGTCAAACAAAGTCTATTAATCTGCAAAATTCACTGCTCACAAAGCATTCCAGTTTTACTTGGATTTACTTTACTACCCGAAGTAGGTCAGTAGGATAGTGAACAGACTATCGAACAGGTCTCGCTGGACAAGACCATTATCATGATGAATGGGAGCGCCGGGGGTGTGCTAGTCGAATTTGCCTTAGTCAGGCCAAGTGAAGGTGCCAAAGATCGTACCTGGAAGCCAACAAATCTATTTCAATAAATGGATCTGTTTCAAACACTACTCTATGAAAAATGGATAAAGAGACTCACCTTCCACGGGGAAGCGGCTTCACAAGAGTTGGATGAGCTGAATAGGTGTTTTGCCTTTTGCTAAGGCAGACACCAATTAATTCTTGTCTTTCGATCATGATGACGTCTCTCAGAGCGATACAGGAGGATTGCCCTACCACAGAATCCAGGAAAGCTGGAGATAAAACCCGAAAACTATACGAAAAAACAACAGTCATGGCCTGCTTTGCATATTGCGCATCAACGTTACTAGAAATGCTAAAGCGCGGGATACGGGATTACAAACCAATCACAATTTGGCACGTCTCGTCTCACGTGATAGCGATGACCTTTGACCGAGCCTTTGACGGGTGTTGACACATGACATGACTTTCACTACACATTCAAGTCAACATGACTTTCGACATGACGGGTCGTCACAACGACCGTGTGTCCTGATCATGAAAATTAATAAACCTAGTGGAGGTACCTACCGTATGCAGCGGCAGGTATTTACATAATCAGGCCCACTTTTATCAATACTAAATTACCACATATTGACTTTGATTTGTACTGTGTATATGAGAAACTTCTTAGGTATGATTGCGTTTAGTTATACAAAACCCTATATTATAACTAACCATAACTTATTAAATGAAGAAAACTATATGAATATATATAATATACATAATTGGGTAAATTGTAATATCATCCGTAAAAAATATCATAGACCCAAAGAAAATAACTGGAATAATCTCACCAGCATTCCGGAGCTCGACATAGTGTATAAACGGCCCTTAGCCCCCAGTGCAGTCCAACCAAGTCCAAGATCAACATTTCTGACTGGACGCCTCTACCCAGATAGCACAAAGACATCTTTAAGACATCCTAAAGACATCGTTCTCAGACGTTCACAACGTCTTTAAGACGTCTATGGACGCCTTAGAGACGTCTGAAAGACGTCCTCTATAGGCCGGATGTTAAAAATCACGACGTCTTTAAGACATCTTTAAAATGTCTCTTCTGAGTCTTACAAAGGCATAAAAAAGACCTCATTTCTGAATGGATTTCAAGGTTCCTCTGGGGATTAATTAAAGTGGAATTTGAAGTATTTGGATGTTAAAAGTATTTATTCAATAACTGTTTTCATTCCTATGTTTTTCAAGTCAAAGTGCCAGTTATGAAGCAAACATGTAGGTACATACAATACAAATGAATAGTTGATCTTTGTGACATTTATTTGAAAAGTACAACTACCAAGGACAGGTTTGACATTTCCAGAAAAGAAGTTGCTGGTCCACCCTGTTTGTGATAGGAAAATTGAGAATATTCATTATGTTTCATATAACTGGTCTCTTCATTTTTTTTGTTGATTGCTTTTTGTGTCAACCAAGCATATTTATATCTCTGGAAGATCCCACATTCTTCCTGAAAACAATGATATATAGAGTTGAGTTTCAGGAGTTTACCAATATCATTATTATTGAGAGTTCTTCTTACCTGGCACACACAGTGGACTGTAAACATAATAAGGCATAATACTTATTATACTTCAATGCAATCATTTGCATCCATTTGACCAGCCAAAACCAGGTGGCCCGCATTTATGAGCTCAGCTTCATTTTGGAGACACTGAATCACTGAAAAAGTGTAGACAGATTGAAATGTACAGGCTAAATGGCCAAATCATAAGAATTCTTGCTCAATAATGATGAAAACTTACAGCTTATCATTATGTTGGTATAGGTTTTAGGTTCAACATTCCAACTAGAGGTAGGTAGGTGGTCTACTGTTAAACATCAGAGATATTATTGTCCCCAATCAAAACACAATAATGAACCACTGGAAAACACGGACTTAAAAAATACACAAATATCAAAGCTGAGAATGATTGAGAACTCAAAACGAAATTAACATAAACACCTCTCAATAAACACCATCACCAAAACCAAACAATGTAAACAATCAAATAGTACTGGCATTCGCCGTTCTGGCTCTGGCGCTTCGATATCTTTCGTTTGACATGGCGGTATTTTCAAATCATCCCACCCGATTTATAAAATAACTTACTCTGAACAATCTATAACCTCTATGTATTACGGTGAAGTTATAAAAATTATGGAATTGAAAATATTCTATTAGCCTGAATCAATATGATCATACCTATATTTTTTATTAAAAGTTTAACGCATATTATGAGAATAGAACCATAAATAAGTGTGGAATTCAGAAATTCTGAGAGTGGAGAACGTTCAGATATGACACACTAAAAGTCATTATGATTAATACTTATTATAATATACCAAATATCATTATTGCTGATTTGTATTATTACGATGTCTTTAAGACGTATTCAGGACGTGAGAATCAGATATCTTTAAAACGTCTGAATGATGACATCTTGTAGACGTCTTATTCAGGGAGTGAGACGTACAGACTAAGATAGGATATAATTCAGACATCTTAAAGACGTCTTGTGCTATCTGGGTAATAGTGCTAGCGGTACACCGAAAATATCAGAAAAAACCGCATTTCGTATAGGATGCAAGATTTTTTGCACAGTACCCAAATGAACGATTTGACTCGCAGCACCCATTTTTTTGGGTGTGTGGGTTCGATTTTCAGGGGTTAGGGGGGTTCATTCCACGATGATTTGAAAAAAATCAAAATGAAGCTATAAAGGTGATCCAGATATCGATTCCATATGAAATTGTTTTGAAGAATATGGTGGTGGCATCCTTTCAGCTCTCTGTTTACTGGAAGTGTCTCAAAAAGCCGCCACTTTGGAAAATGGCGCCTGGTATGGTACTGACAAGCTTGCATAATTCGAGTCGAGTGAGGTATGGATTTACATATTTCAGGGGTCTCTGTGTAAGAATCTACCGAAACATTATCCCGAGGTCACTCTTGAAAGAAAAAAAAGATGTTCATGAAAAAAAAAAAAAAATGAAGTGGTAATAGTACCAATAAGCTTGCATAATTCGAGCCGAGTGAGGTATGGATTTAAATATTTCAGGGGTCTCTGTGCAAGAATTCACCAAAAAACCATCCCAAGGTCACTCTTGAAAAATAAAGATGTTCATGAAATGCGGTTTGAAAGGTGTGCGAGTATGATTAAAATCACATTATGAATTTATAAAGGCGCTATTGAAGTGGAGTTTTCTACTAAAATAGTCCCACTTGTGTTTTTATTGCATTATCAACCTGAATTGTTGAAGAGCCTACATTTTGTATAATTACTGCCAGAAAAAAAAGTTGAATGAAACATATTGGGGAAAACGGTCCATGGTGTTCTTGGGGAGGACACTTCAATTGCACTTCGACACGGTATCCTTTTTCGGTTCGAGAGGAAAACAATCAGCATGGAATGGTTTCTTGAATGGCTTGGTGATCTATTGATATGTATTCATCTGTTATATAAGAAGCGCTCCATTCCATTCACAGACGCGAAGACATTATAGCATTCAAGAGTCTCTCACATTCAATGCTAGTAGATACCATAGACGATGATCTTATCAAGACGTTGGAGAGATTCACGGTATACATGTACAGAATCCGTGACCAGACCTGCTTCGGTGTGAATGAGGCTCGGAAGCACATGTTTGCCACAGAAAACAAACATATTGGTGCAATTCCGCCCTCTCTGGAAGCTTCTGTTCAACATATATAAAGAGAGCTGCTTTCCAGAGTGGACATATCTGGGGAAGGGCCCTTGAAAATTCACCACCACCATCCCCTGAAGGGTGGGGATGGAAAAAAGGAGATATCTGGGTTCCGCTTTGGAGTGAGCTTCCCGAGATCTGGTCGGCTTGCAGGGCTCTAGATAAATGTGGCTGCAAGTCTGGATGCCTTAGGAACATATTATCGTGCTACCTGGGATGCACAAGTTGCAAAGGGGACTGTTCGAATAAAAAGTAAGTCGCTTTGAATGATCCAGCGTGAAAGATTATTTCATATCACTGCTCAATGTAGGATCTAAACGCAATAACTCGAACCCTACCCATACCAAAATGGAAAGGAGGTGGTTGATGGAGGAGTGAATTAGTTGAAACATCGATCAAGGTTTGTATGTTCATCATAAATAGTTATACCTCTATGTCTTCAGAACAGGTCTCGCTGTACGAAACCATCATCATGATGAATGGGGGCGACAGGGGTGTGCCAGTCGAATTCGTCAAAGTCAGGCCAAGTAAGGTGCCAGAATTGTGCCAAATAAAGGTGCCGAAGGTGACTCGATTGGGGTCCACCTGATCAATCGTGAAAGCCGACAAATCTAAATTGAGCGCATGAACTACAACAGGGGGATTTGGTCCCAATTAGATTGGACGGACATCCTGTTCTGCATCAGAAGGTCAGGGAGATTCAGAAAGAGGACAAGTAGTGTTCATTTGTGGAGAGGATGGGTTGACAACAAGGGCCCATTGGGGCCTACTCCCCTGGCTGTAGCCTTCCCACCATACTACTACTACTCTCCATGGTTTACCAGTGATGTATAAGAATTAGTGAGTGTGGCATCACTCACCAGACAAATGGAATCTTAGAGCATTATAATGTATGTTTGGGTGATGACATTCGATGTATGATCGATTTTTTCACTAGCCTACTGTGATTTCTTCTGCTATACAACCAAGTCATCAATTAATATCTTCAGCTGTTCATTCGCATCAGAAGGTGATTTATGAAATATATTTTTTGTGGTCGACTTACTTGATGTTTTTTTCGTTTTTCCTATTTATCTTCGGAAAAGTATTCTGAGACCGTTGAATCACAACGATCACGATTTTATTATTCACTTCGGCTTTTTATCTAGAACTTATATGCATTTATTTTATTCAGAATATTGTCCTTGACTACTTGATTTCGTGATACGCATACACCTTATCACTCAATTTACTCTATTGAATTCGTTTTTTGAGAAATTATATTAAAAAATAGATTATATAATCACGATTTCATTCAGTTTTATAGTGTTATAGTAGATACTTGTTTACATCAGTTTTCAGACGTGAGAATACGCAACTAATTATTATTTTTTATTGTTATAATATCTTGAAAACTTACGTGCATTCGTATGATTGACACCCCAACCAGTCGCAGTTAAACTTTTGACCTCTTGCTTCTTTGATACCTGATCAATTGGCAAACATATTGGCAATACAGTATCTGAAAGACACAAATCTTGATTATTTTGTGATACGAGCAAATTCCATTGTGGAGACTGATCATGTACGTGATATTTCACCGGTTTTGATATCGTATTGCATTGAACCTGAACTTGAAAATGAGATCTGATGCAAACTCATCAATGAAATACAAAATGCGATGAAAACATGATTGAATAAATTGAGAGAGGTTGGTTCATTGAGGATTAGCGCCTTTGCAACTTCAAGCCTACGTAAGTTATTAATGTAGGTAATTTTTTCAATGAATTTGATAAATGTGCTATAATGTTCAAGGTAAGGTGAATGTACTCAGAAAACACATTTACGTATCTAACGCATGAACATTACATACTTTTGTTGATCAGTTACGCAACAAGAGAGGTAATAAGTAGGTTCAAAATTCATGAGTTGACTGTGCATAATGTCGGCAACACGTTACATCATACGTTACATCAATTATATGTAATACTAGTTACATTATTCTTACATCAATGAGATGACAGCGTCAGAATCTAGATTTCTTACGTCCCACTTATATGATTGCAAGGTGACTATCATATATACGTCTGGTATTATGAATAAAAAAGAATAATCAGACTAATTGAAACTTTATTGGACAGAAAATACAACATGGAATGTAAAATTCACCAACCCACAAGTTGTACGATGTTCTCAAAGTTTGAGTCTGCCACTTTTATACTCCACCTTCTCCATACCAATAATATACCTCCTGCTGAACTCCATATTCGTTTGTGATAGTTGCTGATGCCAAGCATCATTTGAAATTATTTGATCTTCATATCTCTGCTTCCTATGGATTCCGTATTGGTGATCAGAAACTATGACATAAAACAATAATAAAATTATGACTCAAAATTTCTTCAACATTCTAACTTGACTGATAGGTACTTATAGGATTACACAATTAGATACCTTGTTATATATATGAAGAAAAACATATGCATTAAACATATTATTCAACTCACCAGAATAGAGTATTGCACGTTCCAATCACTTTTCTGATACTTAGATAATTAAATTATCAGTAAAATATACAACACACAACAAAACGTAACAAAGCTGACGCCATTTCATTTCTAACTTGAGACGACTAGACGAGAGTGACGAGACCTCCTTGATTGTTCGTGTTCATTCGCGAAAACTCGAGAAATGTTGCAATTAGATTAGTCGCTGTCTCGTCCGTTTGATGAAGATAAAATTGTTGTGAATAAATTGATGTGGAATTGACATAATCCCGGAGATATAGATTAACATAATCATATAGTCACGAAGATTGTATATAATTGACTGGGTAGGTACCAATTATCTTCATACACTGTGTCCAAGATAAGGATGTCTATCATGGAGATAAAGCTAGAAAGACTCGCTCAAGGCGTACTTGATGAAGGGAGTTTTTGGGAGAATGAATGGAGCATCATCCTGAAGACGGTGCTTCCGAGCAAGAAACACCTCAGACAGATCTGATGAAGAGGGGGAAGCTATGAAAGATTTCGATACCGTGTTGCTACAAATTTTGATATGGAATACTCAAATTTTTCGAGAGTTGCCTATTTTTCTGTTGAAATAATCGAATATATTATTTTCACTGTCATATTGTTATATCCTTATTCATAACTTTACAGCAATTCCCATTCATCTCAAAAAATATGCCATTCACATGAAGGAAACTTGATGATGTGAAATTTAAAAACAAGTGCCTGTTCAGGAAAAACTACACATTGCGAACGCCTGAACCTATTATATCATCTTATCATTTTTTTCATATGCAACAAAAAGGGTATATGTATAAAGAAATACATTGAGAATTCGCATTCTCTATGTGATGAAAATATCAATTCTTCCTCGGATTCAATGTTCGACGTGGCAAATAGCCAGGAAAGTATAGTTGTTTTCTGTTGAATATTCAGAATGATATTATGTGCATATCTTCATATGAAGGAGAATGCAAATTCTCAACTCCAGAAGATTTTCTCCTCGAATTCTTATCGTGTATGTTCAATAGATGTTCGTCGTGGCATATATAGGTACACCTATATATATATACAGTGTGACCCATTTAAGATGGAAGCACCCTTATAAAACTTACATTTTTCAACCGATTGGAATGATTTTTTTTTTGTTAGGTAGATATCTAAAAAGTCTATTAGGACACCAAATATCATGAATAAATCTCCATTTCCAGGGCCAACTAATCTGATTTTTCAAGGTCAAAAATCTAAAAAAATTACTAGCGATTTTTTTAGAAAAAATCTGACTACACCACTGAATTTGTGACATTTTCAAATGGGTAATATGTAAATTACGTTGAAATGCGTCAATCAATAAAAAAGTTATAAAGGAATGAAATTTGAAAAATATGCCGTTTAATCAACCCACCAATTCATGTTCAGGAATTTTATGAAAATTCTGTATACTCCACTGGATTCAGGATGTCTTGAAATATTACTGATCACAGTTTCATCGAAATCTGTTCAGTAATAAAAATTGATGGGTTGATTAAACGGCATATTTTTCAAATTTCATTCCTTTATAACTTTTTTATTGATTGACGCATTTCAACGTAATTTACATGTTACCCATTTGAAAATGTCACAAATCCAGTGGTGTAGTCAGATTTTTTCTAAAAAAATCGCTAGTAATTTTTTTAGATTTTTGACCTTGAAAAATCAGATTAGTTGGCCCTGGAAATGGAGATTTATTCATGATATTTGGTGTCCTAATAGACTTTCTGAATATCTACCTGACAAAAAAAAATCATTCCAATCGGTTGAAAAATGTAAGTTTTATAAGGGTGCTTCCATCTTAAATGGGTCACACTGTATAGCCAGGAAACTAGTTGTTTTATGTTGAATAAACCGAAAGAGAATTGATATTGCCATTACATAAATAATGCGAATTCTCAATGAATTTCTTCATTTACCAGGTGTCCCACATCTTCTCATAAAGCCTATACCTCAGTTGAGCTGCTTGCAAAAAACAATTGAAAAATCACACTTTTGTCAAACCCATATGACTTTGAAGCTGTTGTGTCAAGGTCAACTTCTGTCAAATTTGACTGCTGTCAAATTGACAGAATACTCAATTGGAGTAGGTAAACGAAAAAGGCACTGTCTCAGTTGAATGTACCTACAAACTGACTTGAAGATGCGGGCACGAACAACTGTCAAAAAAAGCATAACCAAAGAGATGATCTATGCTCCTAAACCTAAAAACAAACCTATATAGATAACAAGGATTTCCAAGTGAAGCCAATAATAAAATAAATGACTGTCTGCGAGCAAAACTGTATGATAGAGCATACGTCATCTGAAAATAAGAATAGACATAAGATAAAATTCAATGTTGATATTTTGATATTTGTTTTCATTGAACTATGAACTATCTGAAGCCTCGAAGACATGACCTAGACTTCGCTGGAATTCATATTTGCGAAGTTGGTGGTTTTGATGAGAGAAACAGCTTCAATTCACGAGTTTGCCGAACTTTATTGTATCACAATACTTCCAATATGTAATAGTGCATGGGGAGTGGAAAGCTATTATAAAGATACGAATGTACAGCTTCCCAACAGATGCGAAATTATATATAGTATGGGGAGAACAAATTGAAAATTGGGCAAATCAAATGCAGAAGTAGGTACATTTTCTGTGACACAGATTCAATGCCTTAACGAAATTCACTAATTACAATGCACCAAAATGTAGAACCTGTGATGGATCTGAATGGAAATGAGAGGTGTCACTTTGATAGGAAACATAAATGTCTTCAACCGTTCTCCGATCTATTTCAACCAACTCATCCTCATTAACTGGAATGAATCTGATAATAATGACAGAGATGCTGAAAGGATAGAACTTGCTTACCATAGTGCTGATGAAACTTCCACCAGGACTGATAATTTTTGTGAAAGTGCCTATGATGTTTCCATAGTAGCCAATATAATATGTTTTTTTTTTAAATAATCATTAATCTCATGATATTCTTGAACAAATCTACACGACTATATATCTATAAAAAGTTGATTGAAATATCTACATTATTCCTTATTATCGACAATTTTCAGTCAAAAATAATATGCAATTTTATCTCCATATTATAATAATATAGTGACTTTCGTTAAAAGGCAGTCATTTGTAGGAAGTAGGTTATGGAAATAAAACTGAATTATATATTATAAAAATAATATCTTACAACTTGTGATATAATAAACACAAGAAAAAAGATGCTAAAAGCGCCACTCATTGAATCGAACTAGAGAATCATACGCATTTAGGGCCTGTCATACATCTTTTTTTTTTATCGCTTTTATTTATATTTTCGAACACCAACAAACATGTCATGAACGGCTCTGGTCTGGAGATACCTGCCACAAAACTAAAACACCGAGGAGAAGCATGATACAATGAATGGAGGAGAAGGGACTAACAAATTCAAGTCGTGTTCTTGATAGGAAATCAAATATGGCGGAGATAGTCCCTTAATTGTCACGTCTGCGCAATGACTCGTGCTCAGAGACAGCGTCATTTTTAATTGTTGCCCCACAGCACTTGTTGAAATCTGAATTTGCTTCAACCCAAGTTATCGGAATGGAAAATCAATCACAGATTTTTCTGGATGAAGCAAATGAAATTGAAATTATATACCCATAACTGAAGCACAACATTCATTTTTTATTCAAAGAAGAGCAGGTACTAACTCAAATATCAACTTGATAAGAATTTTATTTGGGTAATCAAAAAGTGATGAAGGAGCCTTCAATCAGCTTCATATATTTTCCTCAGGGGTATGTTTTCAATCCAGCACTATCTGAGCTGTGATAACCACTTCTTCACTATCTGGTACGAATCAATGGTTTGAAGTCACATCGACTCTTTATTGTTGGAGGATGATTACTACCTGGGTTTGAACTTGTGGATTGGACAGATTGTCCCTTGAAAAGACTCCGGCAGAATGTTTAGTTTCTTTTTGATTCCATAGTATACTTCAGTAAACAGGAGTACCAAGTAACTATCATCAGTATCATCATTCCAAAAACTTGTTGGCATTCTATAAAACAAATAATCTGAAGATTTTATAGATATTGGTGGAACTTATAATAGCAATAAACCTGTCAACTTTTTATTTTGGAGTCGAGGAGGAGGACTCTCTGTTGATTTCCATTTGCTTATAAAATATTTGGAAACAGCATTATGTCATTTCGCCAGGAAACACCAATTTTATGCCACGAAGTGCTTGGGGAAAACAACATTGCTAAGATTTATGTACGTGTCAGGGCTCCAAGGCTTCACAAGCGCTTCAAGTCATAGTTGTTTCCTAAAACCGAAACTAGCAGATGAAAAATTGAATTCAAGCATGTTATGGATTGATCTAGAATCTTTTCAAGCCTGTTCTGTTTGATAACTTAACAAAAACATTACTTGCCGAAAAAAGAGAATATTTGGGAATATGCCACTTCTGCTGAAGGATCGAATGAATCATATCGAAGGCATAAAGAAAACTCATCGAGAACGTAGAAAAGATGCAGAAAAACGGAAAATTGTGAAAAAACACCAAATAAACACAAAAGTTGACAGATGACATTCAGTAATGCGCAGACTCGCCAAGGGGCAATCGGCGCCATATTGGCACTCCTTTCTGGAACAAAATTATAACACAGTTTTTCCCTTCTCCTATTTATTTTAGTTCTGTGGTCTAGTGTATACTTATGCTAGTGCTGGCAACCACGGACCCCAAGATCAAAGCAGAAAGTGGCGAGATCATATCATAAATGAATAAAATAGAATGATTTCTGGTAATGTGAGCAAAGTAAGAGCATTTTTTTATTCATTTCAGGGGTATTTGAACAATCAGCCAACGGCATCGCTGATAATAGATTCAAACTCACAACCTCGAGCTGAAATCTACTACTTTTTCCCTTGTAGAATGAACGAATATCATTTTGAAAATTATTATGAATTTGAAAATAAATGGATTGTCAGATCCCGATACTCAGTATAGTAATGTGATTATTCCCATTGGGATTGCATTCGGACATCTTTTCTGAAAACTCAATCAATGTAAATCCAACACTCTTTCTAAGTGATTGCAGTACTAGTTTTTCTACTAGTATTCCCTATAGAGAGAAGTGCATAAAAAACGGCCAAGATTGTACCTTTTGAATTATTCTAGATAGGGTTTTGAAAATCGGTATGTAGTAAGAATACCAAATTGATCATTAATTAATGGAATACTTTATCTTCTATCTCTTCCAGTTTCACCGCAAACGACCCCAACTTTTGATTTTCGAATGGGACACCCTGTATTGTATTCCATAATCGGTTAGGGATTATCATGACGAATTCAACGATACCGGATTTGATAGGGTTATTTCAAACAATAACGAAGATATTTGAGTTCAAAGTTTCCCCATATGCTCAATGGGTTTGACTTCGCAATATCAAAACTTCTTTCTCTGTCACACTCATTGGGCATATGGGAACTTAGAACGTGGATATCTGCGTAATCGTTTGAAATAACCCTATCAAACCCAGTATCGATGGATACGTTATGACAATCTCTTATGATGGAATACTATACAAGGTGTCCCATTTAAAAATAAAAAGTTGGGGTCGTTTCCAATAAAACCGGAAGTGTTAGAACAAAAATTTTTCCGTCAATCAATGAGCAATTTGGTATACTAGCTGTCCACCAATTTCCAGAACCCTATCTCTCGCCCTATCTCGAATAATTCAAAAGTCACAGTCCTGATGGCCGTTTTCTGTGCACTTCTCTGTATATTCGATAATAGGTCGCGTGCACGATGACCGACCCTGGAGGTGAAATATTGAAACACAACCTCACTTTTCTATAAAACATTGAAACACCACCTTACTTTTTTCATTCGTTTACAGCGAGGAATCAAAGGATTTAAATAGTTTTTCACAATATTTTGGCATACAAATCTTGTTTTTTGCACTATTCCTTCTCATTTTGCTGTTTCCAATACACAAAAAATGCAGCGAGAGACGAAGGAATATGATTTTTAAGGTAAATAGTGATTTCACATAGTTCTCATTATGAAATTTTGTTATTTCTTTCGAAATTCCTTCTGCCACTTCTGCAATGGAAGCTAATTTAGCTAATACTGGCTAATAGATTGGAAATGTCTACAACACACATGATCATATTTCGTCATCATGCCAGACCAGTCCTCCCGTTTGATTGCATGAATCCAATATTCTTGCATTATTTTAGAAATTTCACGAGTATTTTTACTAGCTTCTATTGCAGAAGGCATTTTGATGAGAAATCAGAGAAATCACCAAATTTCAAACATGGAAACTATAGTGAGTGACTTAAGTAGGTAGTTACTTTTGAATCAAATGTACCAACTGGATTCCTTCGTCTTCCGCTGCAATTTTTGTGCATTGTTCAACAGCACAATGGCATGCGCAAATTGATGTATAGCCGAAAAACACGATTCGTATGCCAAAATAATTGTGAAAAACTATTTCAATCACTTGTAAACAAATGAGAAAAGTGAGTTTGTGTTTCAAGGTTTCACATTCCAGGGTCGGTCATTTGACAGTTCTTGCACGCAACCCATTTCAACATAATTATTGAGAATATTTCAAATGAATAGTGATCTTACCTTTGAAATTCATCTTGGATACTCTTAACATAGCAATATCATCATGAAATTCTCCCCTTCTATATTTCTGATGAATAATGATCTCCTCAACTGACAAATCTTGAACTGGGGGAGCACACCAATAAGGTACACAGTCTTTTTCTCTAGATAAATCGTGTTCTCCTACTCTCACGTAGATCCTGAAAAATAATCAAACAACAGTATGAAGTTTTAATGTTTTGAAATCGATAATCAATATCTCGAGAGGGGCGTACCATACCAAACTTTAATATCGCGCTTCGATTTTGAAAGTCTTGACGTAAGAAGAAAGCGTGCTAGCATTATTTTTCTATACATATTATTGTACTATCAAATTGATGCCAGTTATATAGTGTCGCAATTAAAATTTTTTGTTCCAAATTCTAGAACTAAGTACACTGAGACGTTTCACTGTAATAGAGCCAGAACACATTTACAGGGTGTCCTTAAAAGGTCTTTACAAAAAGCTACCACATATTCTTCAGACCAAAACAATTCGATACAAGCAAACTTACCTCAGTAAAAAGTTGCTTAGTTTGGGCGCTAGACGGCTCTGAAGTTGAAATTTTCAAATCGATTTTGCTTCATAACTTTTGAACGGCTCATGAGATTTTTTTCAAATTTGGTACGTTGGCATAGACTCATCGGGCAATGAAACTCATATCATAATCATAATGAATATCATTCCATGGGCGTAGAACTTGATTTTTTCAGGAAATAAACATCTAAAACTCCTACGCCAATGGAAAAAAATTAGTTTCAATATGAAATCTAAATTATTCAACTCATTCACTACAAAAAAGGTACTCTTGACAAAAGTCGATTCCTCTCATGGTTTCGACAAAATTTTAATTTTAGTGATTTAGAGCATAATTAATAATAAAACGATTAACAGATATTTCATAAAAATTGTTCAAAATGTTCACTATTTTCACGTATACAAAGATTTATACGACGCAAAAAGTTGAAATGTACTCTTTGCATAACTTCTTCATCGCCTGTAAGATTATTCGTCGCCTGTTGGATACGTTGCCATAATTGTTCTACAGTATTCACAGGGGTCTTGTAAACCGTAGACTTGAGATAACCCCATACAAAATAATCCATCGGTGTTAAGTCTGGAGAACGTGGTGGCCAATTCACGGGTGCATCATTACCTCTACCTATCCATCTGTCTGGGTACTGTTGGTTTAAAAAATTCCTAACATCCACCGAAAAATGTGGTGGAGCTCCATCGTGCATAAACCACATATCTACCCGATGTTGGAGTGGTAAATCTTCCAACAAATTTGGGAACGTATTTCGTAGATGTTGTAAATACATGTCTCCTGTTAATCTTTGTGGAAGTATGACAGGACCAATTATAAAATTTCCTATTATTCCAGCCCAAACGTTGATTTTGAATTCGTGTTGAAAATGGGTTATTTTAATGGAATGAGGATTTTCAATTGCATAAACGTGTTCATTATGAAAATTAGTTATTCCTCTTCTCGTGAAACAGGCTCCATCAGTGAACAAAATATTCTTTCCAAAGTTCAGATTCATTTCTCTTTGCAAATTAATGAACCTACAAAACATCAGACGACTTTGTGAATCATGGATTAATAAATCTTGAACTGGCGTCTTGTGGTATGGGTATAATAATTGTTCTCTTAGTACTTCATGAACGGCATTCCTAGAAACTTCTAGTTCATTACTTATCCGTCTAGTACTCAATTCTGGATTTTCTTCAATACGGTCTAAAATTTCTACTTCGACTTCGGGAATCCTTACATAACGCTGTCTTCCATAATCACCAGTTCTAGGAGCAAAATGACCGGTCTCCCGAAGACGTCTCTCAACTGCAGCAAAGGTTGGGTGGCTTGGTACGCGACGATTTGGAAACCTTGCCGAATACACCCTCACACTCTCTCGACCATTTCCTTGACAATATCCGAATACCAATAACATATCGGTGTATTCTTCATTGGTGTATTGTACGGCCATGATAAATCAGAAAAGTCCGATATCAACAATCAACGTCAATAAAACTCGACAAATCAACACAGATGAAACTATGGAAACCAAGAATGTGAATATCACTGTTTTCGAGCAGATAATAATAGTCTTCAGAAAAAAAAAACAGTGCTACTTATTTTCAATAGAAATAACCTATGCAAAAAGTACATCTCAACTTTTTGCGTTGTATAAATCTTTGTATACGTGAAAATGGTGAACATTTTGAACAATTTTTATGAAATATCTGTTAATCGTTTTATTATTGATTATGCTCTTAATCACTGAAATCAAAATTTTGTCGAAACCATTCGACCATTTGTCAAGAGTACCTTTTTTGTAGTGAATGAGTTGAACAATCTAGATTTCATATTGAAACTAACTTTTTCCATTGGCGTAGGAGTTTTAGATGTTTATTTACTGAAAAAAGCAAGTTCTACGCCCATGGAATGATATTCATTATGATTAGGATTTCAACTTTTTGCGTCGTATAAATCTTTGTTCACGCGAAAATAGTGAACATTTTGGAAAACTTTCATGCAATATCTATCAATCGTTTTATTATTTAAATATGCGCGAAATCACTAAAACTTAAATATTGTCGAAACCATCAGAGTAATCGAATTTTATCAAGAGTACCTTTTTTGTAGTGAATGATTTGGGCTATCTAGATGTCATACTGGAACTGATTTTTTTTCATTGGCGTAGAAGTTTTAGATGTTTATTTCCTGAAAAAATCAAGTTCTACGCCCATGGAATGATATTCATTATGATTATGATATGAGTTCCATTGCCCGATGAGTCTATGCCAACGTACTAAATTTGAAAAAAATCTCATAAGCCGTTCCAAAGTTATGAAGCAAAATCGATTTGAAAATAACAACTTCAGAGCCGTCTAGCGCCCAAACTAAGCAACTTTTTACTGAGGTCAGTTTGCTTGTATCGAATTGTTTTGGTCTGAAGAATATGTGGTAGCTTTTTGTAAAGACCTTTTAAGGACACCCTGTATATCTGAATATCCCTATATATATATATATAGTTAGGAGGAGGGTAGTCGTGACTGACTAGTTAAGGTAAAATATAAGAAACAGTTCCAAAGGTAATCGTTCTAGGTGAGTTTTCGTGTAAAACACCAATCTCACGTTAGTAAGTACTTTTTTTTTAATGTATTATTTACAAAGTTTTTTCACTTATCCATTTTTATAGATGTCTTGATAAAGGAAATAAACATTTCCGAAAGCTCCGCTAAGTAACAAAGAGTCCTCTCATTAAGGCCAAAATTTTGACTGCAACCTCACCTAGGAAGATTTCTTTTGGAACTGTTTCGAAAGTTATTGTATATTTTATATATATATATATGTGTGTGAAAACTTCTATGAAAGGACCCCGCACCGCATCAATGGGAAATTGGCTTTCGGTTAATTTACTCGAATTTTTGATATATTGTAGAACTCGTGGTGCTGATCAAATGTCTCCATTGCACCAACGCTCTAAAATCAACAAGTACGATTATATAGGGTGATAAAGTTGACTTTTCCAGAATTTTAGATAAAAATTGTGAAGACACCTTTCATAATTTCGAAACCAAATCAACTGTGCATTGATTGTTCGAATAACCGATACTAATCTACTATAAAGTATAATGATTCCTGCACGTACTTACAATATACAGAGTTGGTCGGAACATAGCGAATAATTCAGTGATTTTCGGAAAAGTGTGCGGTGGAATTTCATTTAAATTCTGTAGTATACAAATATCATCCCCATTTCGTGATATTAGCATCTCCTAATCAGACATATCATATACGAGATGTTTTATTTTTGATAAAGTCACATCCATGATAGGTAACTATTATTGGCATCCTCAATATGACTTACAACTTGAACAACCTATTGGGAATCTTGTTCATTCTATGATGAATGTTCACTCTGCAAATCCGTGAAATATACGGAGTGGATGAAAAATCAATGGTCTTTGCTAATAACTTCTCAAAAGTAGTATGTGCAGATTCTTGTGACCCATTTTATTCACCCTGTTTAACGACATTATAATCAATAAAACTAATTTGAACCATTCGATGCCGTATATTTTTGATCGTTCTGCAGGTATCATAGTAGGTTTTTCAGGTGATATAGAAACAATCAACAATAGGAAACAAGAACAATGAATATACAATTATTATGGATAGGATAACAACATATCCTGATATTTAATCACAACAGAAGTTCTGTACCTTACATAGTGTATGAATTTCGTGTTATGACAAGCAATTATATTTCCTCGATCACTAATTCATGAAAAGAATTCGTTTCTCGAAATGAAATAGTTGAATTTATTCAACTTCTTGAACAGTCTCCTGAATACAACTCGTCATACTCAATTCTAGATTTCCTCAACCCTCAAACACTGCTGAAGTAAAGTTAACATAACAGTTAAAACAAAATTGAAGTAGTAAACAATATATTATGAATGACTAATTTCATGTATTCGTTTTTACATTAGGTGTCATCATGTCAATGTCTTCCGGCATTGAATGCGATCCACAATTTATTGTTATTTCTTGGAATTACGGAAGCTTGAGTGAATTCTCATTCGTAAAAATCCATGAGCGTTCGTATTTAAATTGAAATTTATTTTCATCGTGATATCATACATCTTTCATATGAGATCGTGCCAATTTTACCTGGTAGGTTTTCTGCTTCTATTGTGGCTTACACTAAATTGACTCTGATAGCCTTTTCTAACATCAAATTGGCTAATTATACATTGGCGTCTCTTGAGTCAAACAGACATACATACAAAAATACATATAAACTATAAAGATGAACCCGACTATCCAAAATACATACCTAATGTAACAAACAATACTATCTGGCTGGTTTATAAGGTAGTATGAAAATCAACACGATGGCATAGTTATTATATTTGAAGTATTCCTGACTTTATAGCCGAGTTTATAACGTACTCAAGTAAGATAGAAGCAGCTATATTAGTTTCAATAAACATAAATATATAAATTATTCCAGATTTATTGGGAAATGCCACGAAATATCAATTGTGGATTGCATTCGATGCCGCTGCGGAAGACATTGACCAAATCAATAGTGTTGATGACATTATATTTGGATATTATTGCACATGTGAAATTGGAGCAAGGACCTTTGG